TCTTGAGTGGATGGTTTCTGAGGCCCCTTCTGCCTTGAAGGCCAAGAGATGTGTGTCGCCAGAGGGGCTGCGAGGTCACATTCTGGCCTGTGCTGCCTGATGGCCATCTGGGACAGGGTCCAGCAGCGGCCACCTGGTTGCCCCTCCCTCACACCACCACCCCCACAGCATGCCTGGGTCGGCTGTGGTCACCCGGGAGCAGTGCTGCCCTCACCAACCCCCTGCCCAGAAAGAAGGGCCCCGGCACCCCACTTCTGTGTCTCCAGCAGCCCTGCCCTGGCCTCACCTACCTGCGCCCCATCCCCTTAGGGCAGGAGGCCCAAGAAGAAAGGGAGCAGAGCCGGCCCCGCCACTGTCCCACCCTGCTCCAGAGCCTCGGCAGCCCAGAAGTCCCCGTTGGACTGGGGCAGGGACAGGGCTGGGCTCAGAGCTGGACAGGCCTGGGCTGCCTGAGGGCTTTGCATTCTCCCCACTTCTGAGGGGTTTGCATTCTGCGCCCTTCCGCTTCCCCACCCTGGTGGCAGGCGGTGACGGTGCCTGCGTGTGCCCTTGCCTGGCCACGCAGCCTGGACACCCGTCCCCCCGTCACACAGGGTCCTGCACTGCACCTGGTCGGGATGTGCGTCTCTTGGTCTTTGAGCCTGAGAACCACCCCCAGCCCGATGTGGCTGCCCAGAGACTGCTCTGAGGGCTGGTGGTGACCCCCGGCCAGTTAGCCTCCCTCTGTAAACACACAGAAGCTGGAGACCTCGTTTCCTGCCTGATACACATTGTTTTTGATAACCATTATTTTTTAAATGTGTTTTCACTGATATTAAGAGATAATTATGCACATCCCTCAGCCTGGAGATGGCGGCTGCTGGGACTTTCTCTGGAAATATCTATTCTAATGAGCTTTTCTGCGAGGCATCAAGAGGAAATATTATTCTCATCATATATTTTTAAAGTTAAAACCCTAAAGAAATGTTACACATAATTTTAAGGCTATAGTTTTGCTTTTTTTATTTTTAAAGATTTATTTATTTATGCATACAAGAGCTGGGGTACAGGCCAAAGGTGCAGGGGGGGTGAGAGGATTCACCAGAGACAGAGAGGGGAGCAGCAGGGAGACAGGAGAGGTCTGCTGTGCCATGTGGGTAGCTCCCTGGCTGGGGATCAAACTCAGGCTGCAGGGGCCGCGGTCAGCTTCACAGCGCTGTGGCTTAACCCTTGCGCTACCAGGGAGGCCCTATAGTTTTGCTTTGTGGTTAAAAAATTCTAACTCTCAGAAGAGGCCAGAATGCTCAGCACTTTGCAAGACCCCTTCCTCCAGGCTGCTGCCCCGCCCCAGCGGGTGGGCAGGCTGCTATTCGGCTAAAATTCCAATTTCAGACTCCATCATTTTTTGACTTTCCGGTGACTATTACCAGGATCATCAGCTTTGGCAAAACACCAGGAGGAAAAATATGACTGTCTAAGGAAATTACAAATCATTATTGGGTTGCTAATACGTTTTACCTAAGACTAAACCAATCACTGCGCGCATTATTAAATTAATATCAGTCAGCTGGAGTTCACGGGGAACATTCTGTTTCTTCAGCTCGTACACGGCGCAGGGGCTGGCTTGAAGGCACGTCTGGACAGCACCAGGCAGGGGCGGCTCAGTTCAGGCCGCCTTCTGGAGGGCAGGGTGCTCTGCCCTCCGAATCCCCCTGGACTCCCCGGGCACCCGGCTGCGGGCTCAACCCCTCCCGCCCAGGGCAGAGCACATGTGGGGTGAAGCTCACCCCAGGGCAGGGCCTGACTGTCCCGTGCAGATCCAGCATGTGTCACCAGCTGCTGTCTGCTGTGTCCGAGGCCCGCGACATGACTTAGTACGTGTGACCCGGCCACCTAGAAGCCCCTGCGGCCGGAGGGTGGCACCGATGGATGTGCTGGGCCAGGGTGGCCGCCCCCGCCCCCTCCGAGTGTGACGCAGTGTCTGCATGACACCGTCCCGCAAGGTGCAGCAGAGAGGCCTGCCCGGAATGCCCTCGTCCCCTCCAGCCTGTGCTTGTCGCCGTCACAAGTGACCTTGCTCTGCTTTCCGCGTCCGAGCTGTGAACTGAGCTCACCTGCATGCAGATGGGTTGATGGGGATTGAGTCGCTTTCTCGTCCTTCCTGTGTGACCTGAGGCCCCTGCCCTGGGCGGGCAGCACCAAAGTCAAGGCGTTCCTGTAGGGTGGGCACATCCCCACGTGAGGTGGAGAGAGCTAGGTGGGGCGGGAGGGGGTGCCGCCCGGCACTGTCGCTCTCCCCAACATTTGGAGTCCAAGAACAAAGGCACCCAGGCCCCAGGCAGGGAGTTGCTGTTCTCCCCTGGGGCAGGAGCCCACGGGGGCTCAGAGAGGTGGCCCCTGCGGGGTGGTGTGCGAGGCTGTTTCCACCACTGTGTCCTCACAGCCTGTCTGCAGCCCTCACTTGGCCGGAGTCCTGCTCAGCTGGGAGGGAGCGAGCTGGGAACCCCTGGGCTCCGGCCCCGGGCCCTCTCCCTGCGGGCTCCTCCCCCACCCCCCCAGCACAGAAGTGACCGAGCAGAGTCACCCACAAGCGGCGTGGCGGGCGGCGCCCGTCTGCTGCAGCAGGGCCAGGCCACACAGGGCAGGGGCTCAGGCCATCGCTGGTCTGTGTTCACGCTCCGTGCAGCGAGCACAGCCGGGCAGCTCCGCACAGTGTCACCCCTGAGCCACGCTCAGCCACTCTGGGCATCACGGTGCCGGCCCCGAAGGCTGGAACATCACGCGCCCTCAGGGCTGGCACTCGTCAGCCCAGACTGCTGGGGCTTTATCAGCCACGGAAATGCTCCAAGTCGTTTCACCTGGTGCCAGGAGGCGACAGGACGCTGGAGGCGGAGGGACAGATGGGGACTCCGCGGGGCCCGAGTTCTAGCAGAACTGCCAGAGCCCAGGACACCAGGACCTTTGGTCTGTTTCCGAGCGGCCATGTCCCCGCGCGGGGGTGCGGTGGGCGGTGGAGTCGGAGGCTCGTGCTACTGACCGAGTCCACCGGCCACTGGAGGAAGAGACCGGGTCACGTGGGTGGGCCTCTGGCCGGCTGCTGGGTGCTTGAGGAAAGCTCTCTGCAGGACCAGGAGGAAACACTGGAATGGAGGACGATGCTAGTGACTGTGCGATGCCAGCGTCGCTGCTCCAGGCCCAGGACATCAGGTTCCTCCAAGAAAGGAGGCCCGTGGTGTGGCCACGGAGGGACAGGCCACCTCACCAGCCTCCAGAGGCCCCGGCCCAGCTGCCCGGGGAGCTGCCCGCTCGGTCCCTGAGCTGGAGGTGCAGCACATCATGGCAACCGGCAGGGTCTGCCCACGAGGCCAGCCCCTCGCCTGCCCCGCAGCCCCCTGAGGCCGCTGACCCCGCTCCATGACCCTGCCCGCCTCTCTCTGTTTCTGCTGCTTCCCTTCTGTGGCCGTCACCCACGGGGCCAGTGCCACCGTGGCCTACACAGTGCCTCTCTTGGGATTTTTATCCTCTCTTGGGATCCCGGTCTGGGGCTGCCTGTCCTCCTGGGCCCGCACACGAGGCAAGTTCACAGTCACGCCTGGTGGTGAGCAGCGGCTGGGGCTCCAGCGTCCGGTCATGGAATTGTCCTGATCACTATTTTCAGAGCAAATCTCAAGGGAAGTCCCTTGCCCTCCGTAGAGACCGCGTGAAGGGACGAGCCCTTGACCTCAGCCCCACGTAGCACTGAGGTGGGGCTGCTGGACCCTGGGCTCTGACCCGATGCACTGGGAAGTGTCTTCAGCTGTTAAGAAACAGAGTAGGCTGGGCCGGAGTGCAGAGACCCCTACAGAGACACCGGGTGTTTGAGAAAAAGTTCTGCTGCAAATCGCTTGGCAACAGGAAAGGACATAAACTCCAATCTGCCTCCCCAGTCAGGTACAGGTTTTGGGGACCTGGTGGGGAACAGAGGAGTTAAATCTTAGTGGCCAAGGAGTGGGCAAAGGGCAAGGAACGTGGGCTTGGCAGGGCGTGTTGGCTGGTTCCAGGGCAGCTCATACGAGGGGAGGCACGAAGAGGCTCTTCCCAGGTCGAGGGAGCCCCGAGTGTCCGCCCCTCACCTCCGCCCCTCGCCTCCTGGGGCCCCGCGCCTGCACTTGTGTCTCCTGGCCCCCCTCGGCCTGGGGCTGAGCTCCAGCCCGGCACTCCTGCCCGCTCAGGCCGGTCATTTGCTGCCCTGCCCCCAGCTCCACCTCTGTGCTGGCGACCTCGCCGGGGGCTGGGAAGGAGGTTTCCTCTGTCCTTCCTTCGTGGCCAGAGCCGGCGAGCCGTCTCCAGTGATCGAGTTGTTCGTCTGGAAGAATATCAGGCCCTAGAATCCTCAGCCAAAGTTAAGACTCTAAGTAGCCGCGGTGCTGGTGGGATGGGCCTGACTTGGGGGTTCTGGGAACCCGAGGAGCATCGCTTGCCTCTCAGCCCTGCTGAATGGGGCCTTTTGCTGTTGTGGCGCGCAGCGAACGTCCTTCCCAAGCGCAAGCCGAGCCGGCCCCGCAGCCCCCCGGGGCTTCACGGCTCCACACAAGGCAGGACCCAGGCGCTCCTGCCAGTGGCCCGGCACCTCCAGGGCCTCCCCAGCCCCCTCCTTCCCGTCTGGTTCTGACTCCCTGGGAATGTCCTTCCTCTGCTTCTGCTGCTTGTGTCGTCTTAACGTAACCGCCCACGACAGGGCAATGACCATTCCACGCCTGCTGGGCGGGGGGTGTCCAATTTGTGCAAACAAAAAAAAATGGCTTCCAGACAATTAGCGTCTGTTCCGTGAGGCCTTGGCTCGTTGCTTTCACTGTGCCAGGCCAGGCCAGGCCGGGGCCAGGGCCCGGGGGCCGGGGGCTGGGTGGGCCAAGCCAGGCCTTGCGGGTTGCAGAGGCGAGCGTCCCTGGGGGCCTCCCTCTCCCCCGGGCGCACGCTGGGCCCGCAGCAGCGACCTCCGCGGCGTGGCCCGCTGCTCAGCTGTCTGCCTTGTCTGCCCGCAGAGGAGGTCCTGAAGACCCACATCGCGCACTGGTGGTCTCCGGATGGCACGAGGCTCGCCTACGCCACCATCAATGACTCCCGGGTGCCCGTCATGGAGCTCCCCACCTACACCGGCTCCGTGTACCCCACTGTGAAGCCCTATCACTACCCCAAGGTAGGTGAGGGGGACGGCGGACCAAGTCTCTGCCTCTCTCATCGCCCCCACCCCGACCGCGAAGGCGGAGAAGGCCAGGCCGGGTGAGCAGGGCGCAGTCGGAGGCAAGGGTAACCGCCCCCCACCCCAGCCCGCACCATGCCGAAGGCCAGCTCGGCAAAATGTCGTGTGAGGGGTTCCTGAAGGACGAGACAGCGCTGGCGAGACGGAGGGCTGAGGGGAGGGGCAGATGAGGCGGGCGAGGGAGTGAGGAGACGCCGACACTGGATGGGGGGCAGGTGTCCCCTGCGGAGGGTCTCGGCGGGTCTTTGCACATTCAGGCAAGCGGTGGGACGGCGTCATCACCTGCATAGAAGCAAACCAGAAACAGCCAGTGCGTTCCTTCCAGGGCCGTCTGGCGCCTGCGTGTTCTGAGAAGAAATGTGACCTTTAAAGTTAATAGACAACAAAAAACTTAAACTCATTATTTCAGCCTAAACGATCACCCACGACAGCTGCTGGTCCTCGGCGCCTCCCTGTCCGCCAAGGCTGCCACAGCACAGGATTCCTCCACCTGCGCGGCCGGCAGCTGGAGACCAGCTGCTCCCTGGTTGTCCGTTATCAGAACTTTTTCTACCTAGAAACTCCTAGCGTGATCAGCTTCATAAAAAAGGCTTCCCTAAGAAACTTCTAAAAAGAAATTTGCGGCCAGCTCTGGGTTGCTTGTCGGGCACGCTCTCGTGCAGCAGGTATTTCCCATTGTCAAGTGGGCCAAATTGCTCAGTGGTTAGTTTTTGAGCAGGTCATTCTCCGAGCCGCGTGTTCACAGCATTCTTACACGTGTCGTTTATTGCCCAACGTATTTTCCGAGAAGTTTTTTCTCTCTATGACCAAGAACAAACAACAAAGGGATATTTGTAGGTTACAGATTAATCTTCGGCCCCATGGCGTGGGGTACAAGGAATCTTCAGCCCCGCGGTGTGAGGCTCTTTGAAAGTCTTCGGCCCCACGGTGTGAGGCCCTCTCCTTAACTGCTTGCCAGCTCTTACCTGGTTGGGGCAGCAAGACACCCCCCACCACAGTAGCGCAGGAAACCCCTTCCTTGTTGTGCTGAATTTGTCAGGTTTACTTGATTTCAAATAATTGCACGACCACTAACCATTTGTCCAGGCTTCGTGGGAACCAGAGTAAGGACACACCCTCCACCTGTGATCCCGCAGCAAGCGCTCACCCGCGCGCACCAGCTCCTGGCCCACCTTAGACCCCGGCCTCGGGGCCAGCACCACCTCCCTCTGCCCGGCCCGGCTGCTGCCTCGCGGCGCTGGGCCAGGCTGTGGCCTGCGACTGCCGGTCACTGCCCAAACCAAGCTGCGGGCTCCAAGGGCAGCAGGGCCACAGTGGGGCGGGAGGGGCCAACACCCAAACCTCACTTTATTTTTTTTTAAATATAAAGAGAGAGTGCATTTAATTTTTATTTTTATTTTATTTAAGATTTATTTATTTATACAAACACTGGGTACAGTCAGAAGCGCGGAGGGTGAGAGAATTCACCAGAGCCAGAGCGGGGAGCAGAGCAGGCAGAAGGACCGAAGGACACTGCTGAGGGGAGCAGCGGGCGGCAGGAGAGGTCTGCTCGCCATGTGGGACCCTCCTCCGGTGGCCGGGGAGCAGCCGGGATCGAACCGGCACTGCAGAGGCCGCGGGCAGCTTCACAACCCAGCGCTCAACCGCTGCGCCACCGGAAACCAAACCTCACTTTATAAGCACAGCATCTGGCAAGTGGGAGGGCCAGACGCCGAACCCCACACCTCTGCCTGTGGCTGCCGGGGAGGGCGAGGCCAGCCCTGGCACACACGGCCATCTGGGCCTGGATGGCATCCCCAGATGCCCTCCCCCCCAAGCCGGGTGCATGGGACGGCTCACGCATGCTCCTTGTAGGGGCAGGAATGGCCACTGAGCAGGTTTTCTAATATCCAGCAGACCGGGTGAAGGAGGAGTCAGGGTCCTCAGTGGTTTTTGCAGGCTTTATTGGGGTTTACCCGGTACCCAATAGGCAGGGGTGCTGGGGGGCCGGGAGGCTGGCAGGCCTCCCAGCCCCCAGCAAGTCTTCACTCTATCTGGGCCCTCTGGCCTTCTCTCAGCTTCTGCTTCTCTTGCTTCTTTCTTGGCTTCTCTTTCGGCTTCTGCTGGCGTCCCCGTTTCGCCGCCCTTAAAAGCCCAGTCTCAGCCCAGGTGAATCCCATCTCCCTAGGCCCACACCCCACTCCAGGTGCCGCCATCAGGCATGCGTTCAGGACCGCAGGGATCCATCATCCATCCTGATGGCGGGAGGGCAGAAAAGCCTGACATTTTTCTTACCCTACACTCCTGCACCAGCCTCTGTGGGGAGCCCTGATCCCTAAGTCCTGGGCCACCAGACACCAAGGGCTAATGTGTGTGCCTTGTGCTCCTGGAACACGACCCACTGCCTACAGTCACAGCGAGGGGCAGTGCTGAGCTTCCCAGAGGCCCAGAGAAGTAAAGAGTGGGTCTCCCTGCCTTGGGGTCTCGGGCTGGAAGTCGCAGATCTGGGCGCAAGTGGGTCTGCTTCTGCAGGAACCCCCTCCCAGGCTGCAGGCAGCCACCGTCTTGCTGTGCCCTGGGGGTGGGGCACTCCAGCCTCTTCTTAGAAGGGCACCAGTCCCCTCTGGGGGCCCAGCCTCATGACCGCCTGTAAAGGCAGGACTGGACACAGTGCAGGTTTCCTGATCCCATGCAGACCGGGTAAAGGAGGAGTCAGAGTCCTTAGTGGGTTTTTGCAGGTCTTTTATTGGGGTTCACCAGGCATATGGCAGGCAGGGGTGCTGGCTGGGGGGCTGGGAGGCCTGCCAGCCCCCCAGCCCCCAGCAAGTCTTCACTCTATCTGGGCTCTCTGGCGTTCGTTCTGCTGCTTCTCGGCTTCTCTTTCGGCTTCTGCTTTGGCTTCTGCTGCTGCTGCTGGCGTCCCCCCATGACGCCGCCCTTAAAAGCACAGTCTTAGCTCAGCTGAATCCCATCTCCCTAGGCCCACACCCTAGTCCAGGTGCCGCCATCAGGCATGCGCTCAGGACAAGGATCCATCATCCATCCTGATGGTGGAAGGGCAGAAAAGTCTGATATTTTCTTTACCCTACACCGCCCCTGACCCGAATCACTCCAGACTTCTCTGACGTCACCCCAGGGGTCAGGGCACAGCACATGAGCTGGGGTAACATTCAGTCGTGGCTCCTGGGACCTCACACCCCAGCGCAGCTCCTGGCCAGGTCAGGCCCAAGCAGGAGGGCGGCGACTCCCTGGAAGCCAGGGCCTCGGCTCTGCCTCCCGTCCTGAGCGCCCCCAGTGTCAGCACTTGGCCTGGAGTTGCTTTTCACAGGATTCTTCCCTCCTCCTTCAGCAGGTCTTGGATTAACTCCTGGTTATGTAGAAAGGCCCAGGGTTTTAGTTGGAAACACGGTTAAGTGCATTGAATTGATGTCAGATCTTTCAACACACACATGTGTGCACACCTGCACCGGTGCGCACATGCACGCGTGCACACACGCACATGTGCACAGCTCAGCCCTGGGCCCCCTGTCATCCTCTGACCCCACAGAAGGGCCATCTCCCTAGTGAACCCTGTGCCAGGGCCCCCCAATTTAGGAGTGAGGCCCTTGACTTTGCAGTGAGCTCTGGGACAGCTGCTCCGAATGGGAACCAGGAGCCCCACATGCCTCAGAACGGGGTTCCGGTTTCACTAGAGCCAGCATGTGCTGGCCAAGAGAAGCAGATGCTCTCTGGCCCATGACACCCCCAAACCGGAGCCTTGAGTTGGGCGCCGCCTGGCTCTGCAGCCCCCATGAACGTCTCCTGCAGTCACAGGGGAAGGTGGGCCACCCCCAGACACTGCCCACCAGTCAGGACTCACGCCCTCCCTGTCCCCAGGCTGGCTGTTGGCCCACAGGGGCAGCCACGAGGACCCCAGCTCCTGGGAGGGCCTTGGTCCCCACACTCCCGGCATTCCCACACTGTGCTCGTCCTGCTTGGCGCCTCCCTGCACCCCAGCCCTGCCCCCTGCCTCGCCCAGGTCTAGGTGCTGTTCCCCTCCCAGGTCGCGAAGCAAGTGGAGCAGACAGACCCTGGAAGACGGGGTGGGCGGGCGAGGGGTGGATTCCCTGGGTGGGTTCCCGATGTGGACGGGTCGTCCAGGGCACCCCTGGTCCCCGCCTGCACTCCGGGGTCCCGCTTGGGAGCCTGCAGGGGAGACCCGGGGACACGCCCGGCGGGGGTGCTGACTCCAGCTCTGTCCCCTCTGCCCCGCAGGCCGGATGTGAGAACCCCAGCATCTCCCTGCACGTCATCGGCTTGAACGGGCCGGCCCACGACCTGGAGATGACGCCACCAGACGACCCGCGCATGAGGTCTGTGCGCGGTGGGTTTTGGGGGGCCCCACCGCCTGCTCAGGGCAGGGCCACGCCGCTGCTCACTTAAATCCCAGAAGACCGTCCCCCGTACATTTTCCAGTTTCCCTTGCACTTTATGATTCAGTTGTTTGCGAAAGGGTCACCTCCCCTGGGGACAGGCGTGGGGTGGGGGCCGCCAGCACCGGCTCCAGGGGCACAAGTGGGGTGAGGCAGGCAGCGGCCCCACAGAAATCCACATTTGGAGCGTGACACCGGGCGGGCTCCCCTGCCGCTCCGCCCGGGGCAAACCTGGGCCCTGTCGTGGTGACGCCGGCCCGCCAAGGCAGACGGCCGCCTCGTAAGTGGGACACTGAGCAGGTTCTGTCCACACGGGTGGCCTGGGTGTCAGCTGCCCACTGTCCCCGAGCTCGCACGGCCTGGGCGCCAGGCAGCAGCAGCGCGTCCAGAG